CCAGCACCACAGCTCAAAGGCATTAATTCTCGTTCTATCCTCCATAATTGAGGGGCTAACTAGAAAAGGCAGGAGAAGACAGGTAATGTCCTCTCATGCAATTTTCAGCCTATGGAAGAACTGTAAATTGTAAAAAGCTGGAGAGTCAAATCTGAAATGGTTCTGACTCAAGAGCGATGAGCTTTGAACTAGAAAAAGCCAAAACCCAAAAAAACCTCGCTTGACCTCCCTGCCCCCAACTTTCAATTATCAAACTAGTTTAGGACTAGTTGATTCCAAAACAAGTAGGTTTTTTTGATGCTGTACATCCTGTAAGAGGATATTTTCTATCTTTCTCCTTGGAGCTTCTGGTGGATTCCACCTGATGGTCTTTCAGTTGGCAACCCCGTATGTTTCACACTACACTACTGGAGATCCTGTACTTTAAAATAGAAATGCTTCAATGGAGGGAATTAATCACACACATGATAGGAAAGCTGAAAAGCCTAAGGGTACAGTGAGGGAGTCCAGAGACTGTTGTTGTTGTTACGTGCCATCGAGTCACTTGCAACTCATAACGACCCTATGTACAACAGCCCTAAACTCTGCTCTGTCCTGTGCCAATCGTACTGTCTCTGACACTCCCATTCCGATTATCCCAGTCACTGAATCAATTCACCTCATAGAGGGCCTTCCCCACCCTCCCAAGCATGTTGTTCCTCTCCAAAGACCGGTTCCTCCTTACAACATGTCCAAAGTAAATTAGACGAAGCCTCAGAATCCTTGCCTCCAAGGAGCATCCCAGTTTAAACCTTCCCAGGATGAATCTGTTTGTTTTCCTAGCAGTCCATGGTATTCTCAATACTTTTCTCCAGCACCGCAGCTCAAAGGCATCAATACTCCTTCTATCCTCCTTAGTCATTGTCCAACTCTCTGATGCTTAACAAGTGATAGCAAAGACCATGACCTGTATCAGATTCACCTTAGTCTCCAGAGAGTCACCATTGCTCTTCAGTACTTTGGAGAGGTCCCTAACAAAACGCGTTCCCATGACAATGCGCCTTTTAATTGCCTGGCTACTAGTGCCAAGAGTGTTGACTGTGGAGCCAAGCAAACTAAAGCGGTAAACAATCTCAATCTCTTCACCATCCATCCTGATGCTGCCAATTGGCCCAGTGGTGAGAATCTTTGTCTTCTTGACATTGAGCCTCAATCCATATTAGAGGCTGCAGTCCTTGACCCTGTCTGCAGCAAGTGCTTCAGGTCCTCCTCAGTTTCAGCAAGCAGGGTTGTGTCATCTGTATAATGTAGATTGTTGATAGATCTTCCAGAACATTCCCAATTGGGCATTTTTGTATGGTGAGACACAATGGCAAAGTGTTAGCCCATGGAGTTTGAATCATGCCTTGATTTTTGATGGATTTCTTCTAAATGGTATAGCACTGGTCTGTCCATTTGCTGTACAGAGGTAACTCATGGTTACTGTGATGCTGAACATTGTGACCCTGACGTGTCAAAAGTGATAATCGTTATCCATGGTGGACAATGTTTGGTGGAGCTCCCCGATTAAATTAAGCATGGAAGCAGAAGTGGCATCCACTTCCAAAATAGCTTGCCTCTAGAAACCCTATGATCCTGGAGAAAGGAAGAAAATTATACAAGTGTTCATGTCTTTTGTTCATAGAGTCACTATGAGTCGCTTACGACTCGACGGCGCTTAACAACAACAACAACAACAACAGTTTCTTCCTAAGTGTATTTTTTTCTCTTATCTTTCACCAATTATTAATTCTATATGTTTTCACATTTTCTTCCTGCCTTTTCCTGCTCATTTTTGTCCATTTTTATTGGAGGGATGCAAAAAGGTGTTCATTGAAATTACTGCCATAAAAGGGAAGACAGGTGAAATGCAGAGCTTTACTCTAGAGTGATGATGTAGTTAAGTACTGCTGTTATGTTGTTGTTATATACAAGAGCCAATTTATAGCTGGCCCACTAGGGGATTTTCAGAGGATATAAATCACTCAGGAGGAGATTGCCTCTCTTTCTCCTGGGAAACATCTTGTGGATGTGAACCCCTTGCCTTTCAGTCAGCAACCCAACTTCTTGCCATTAGGCTATTGAACTCTCTCTAGAGTGATAGGTGAATTTGATCTTTTCTCTGGAGCCATGCCATTTTGCTTCCCTAGAGAACAATCTCCTTATGTATGAGGGTGACTTTCTGCCTACCCTGTGGCTCTCACAATTCACTAGACAGACTTGAATTTGCTGTTAATATGTGCCATCAAGTTGCCTGTGACTCATAGCGACTCTATGTACAATAGCTTTGAACCTTACCCTATCCTGAGCAAGTCTCACTGACTCCAACACACCTACCCTTATTACCCCAGTTACTATGTCAATACATTTCATCTGGAGCCTTACTCTCCTGTGCCATGATGTTCTTCTCCAAGAACTGGCCTCTTCTGGCCACGTACCCAAAGTATGAGAAATGGAGCTTCAAAATCCTTACTTCCAAGGAGCAGCTTGGTTTCACCTTCCCCAGGACAGACTTGTTAGTTTTCTTGGCAGTCCATAGTATGTTCAATACTCTTCTTCAGCACTATAACTCAAAGGCATAGATTCTTCTTCTGTCATCCTTGGTCATTGTCCAGCTCTCTAATGTATAGCAAATAATTGTGAAGACCATGGCCTGAATCAGGCATACCTTAGTCTCTATATTGACATTGTTACTCCCCCACTTTTCAGAGTGAGGAAGCTTTGGTGGGAATATGGTAAAGAGTTGCAATGTCATCCCAAAGGCACATGCTTTGAATGTACCAACTTTTCAATGGAAATAAAGATGAGCAATTGTGTGATTTACTGCCTCTGAAAACTCACTAGAAGGTCAGCTATGAGTTAATCACTACTTGGTGGTACACATATGTAACATTTTCATTATGATTTTCTATTTTCCTCCCTGTTGAACCTGGTGTGTCTGAGTGCACAGCTCTGTGGTCTGATTGCTCATAAATAAAGTTACCATCTAAAGGAATTGAGGAGGGGCTTTTTGCCTGGTATGCAAGAGGAAGTGCTGAACCATTGTGGATTATTCCCCCCTTTCTGTGTCACATCTGCTTTTTGGATGATATGAAGATTCCAATTTCTGAGTCTTGAAGATTTAGAAGGTAATCTAATAAATTTTTTAGAACCATTTCCTCATGGACACATGAGGAACTCTGGTGGTCTAGTGGTGTGAAGCTGCTCGGCAGTCCCAAAGGTAGGCAGTTGGAATCCACAAGCTGTTATATGAAAGAAGTATGGGAAATCTCATCCCATGTGATTAACTGCATTTGAAAAGTCGTTGGAGGGTCAGCTAGGGATAAACACATTGATGTTTGCAATGTCCCATAAACTAGTTTAGAACTTGTGTATGTATTAATTTCTTTGTTAGTTTAATTACCTTACCTTTCTTTAAACAATTTACTGTTATTATTCTCACCACGGGACCAATTGGCAGCATCAGGATGGATGGTGAAGAGATTGAGATTGTTCACAGCTTTAGTTTGCTTGACTCCACAGTCAACATTCTTGGCACCAGTAGCCAGGAAATTAAAAGGCGCATTGCCATGGGAAAGTCTGCTGTTAGGGACCTCTCCAAAGTATTGAAGAGCAATGGTGTCCCCCTGGAGACTAAGGTGTGTCTGATACAGGCCATGGTCTTTGCAATCACTTGTTATGCATCAGAGAGTGGACAATAACCAAGGAGGATAGAAGGAGAATTGATGCCTTTGAGCTGTGGTGCTAGAGAAGAGTATTGAGAATACCACGGACTGCTAGGGAAACAAACAGATTTGTCCTGGAAAGGGTTAAACCGGGTGGCTCCTTGGAGGCAAGGATTCTGAGGCTTCATCTAACATACTTTGGACATGTTGTAAGGAGAGACCGGTCCTTGGAGAGGACATCATGCTTGGTAGGGTGGAGGGACAGCGCAGGAGGGGAAAGACCCTCTATGAGGTGGATTGATTCATTGACTGGGGTAATCGGGATGGGAGTGTCAGAGACAGTGCGATTGGCACAGGACAGAGCAGAGTTTAGGGCTGTTGTACATAGGGATGCTATGTGTTGCAAGTGACTCGATGGCACATAACAACAACAACAACAACAACAACAACAAGATAGTATAATAGAGGAGAAACAGGAGGCCTAAGGCACAGTAGTTAAATTCTAATCAAGAAGTCAGTCGTTGGAATCCACCAGCAAATCCATGGGGCAAAAGATGTTATTGTCTGCTTCTATAAAGATTATCTAAGATACCAAACTCAGTGCTGACACATTGGTTCTGACTCATAGAAATTCTCCAGGGGGTTTGTGATGCTGGAAATCTTTATGAAAGGAGATGGTCCATCTTTCTTCTATGGAGTTCTGCTGGATTAGAACTGCTGACCTTTTAGTTAGCAGCCCAATGTCATATGTTCTATGCCACCAGCAGAAAGATTATACCCTAGAAAATCTTATGTGACAGCTGTTCTCTGCACATGG